AGTTCTAGTAGAAAGTTCAACTATCTTTCAAAGAATAAATGCTGAACACTCAGAGGAACAGCATGATCAGCAATCTATTTCCAGTAGTGACAGGCATAAAACGACAGAAGAGTGCCATCACAGCAGTGGTAAAATTTCAAGCCAGCCAAAAGGTCATCCTTCTGTTGGTCAGTACTCTCTACGCAGCAATACAGCATCAATAAAACATGGAAAGGAAATAGATAGTGAGTTTAGTCCACCATTAGTAAGCCGAAGAACTGGCAAACCACTGTGCAACAATTTTAACCAGACAAGTCTCATTTGGGAAAAAAAGCCACTTGCAGAAATTCTACATCCTGCTAAGATACCTCCAAAAAGTGCAGATACAAAAAAACATACGGATGCTGAAGATCATGTAACACCTTCTACTGGGGATATAGAAAATAAGCAGGCCTCATCTGAGGGCTTCCAATCTGTGAAGGGAGAAGAATCTAAAAATGATGATCAGTTGTCAAAAGAAGAAGAATTGATGCTTAGCAGTCAGCCTAGAGAAACAAAGCTATCCCAGGACAGTAATAAGAGTACCCCAACACCAGGAGAAAACTATTATGGCCCAGAAAGTTCATGCCCAGAAGGACTGCAGATAAAATTTGAGGAGCCTGTACTGGACAAAAAAACTCTCCAGTTGCAGCAAATAATTGCTGAGGAAGGTGGCATTTGGGTTAGCCGGAAAACAGGCAAGGAAGTTAGAAGCAATTTCAATCAAACAAGTCTCATTTGGGAAAAAAAGCCACTAGCAGAAATCCTACAGCGTTCAAAGTATAACACATCAAATCCAGATGAGACTCAGTCACCAGAGGATTAGGAAGATTTTGCTCAGGTTCAAAATTCTTATGAGGCTTGTACATTAGTAGTTTTTGTGGGGTGTGTTAAACATTGCTTCTGCTAGGGCTATTCAGTATAAATATTATCAATAATATTAAATGTTGTGAAATATCGGTTCATACATCCTTATTTCACTGAGCATGTACAAACAGTTGAAAAAAACATAGGTTCATTAAAAAGCAACGGAAAAATACATTCAGTAAAGCTCTTTTGATCACAAATTTACTAAAATTCCTAACATGACTTAATCTGTTTTAAATATTCCTATTGTTAAAAGATAACTGCAAGAAAAGTCAGTGTAGATTTGTGCTGTAACCCCTTCATTATGCTAATGGTCCCACACTTTCTGATTTAGATGAAGTAATTTGTTTAGCTCAGTAAATATTCATAAGAATTTATTTAATCCAAATTATGGATATATATCTGTAAAGACAGATTTCTACTGTGAAAACAGGGCAAACCACATTTAGCAGCTTTTATGTGCACTTCATATAAATATAAAATATAAATTTACACATATAAAAATAGTAATTGCAGCTCAGCCAGCTTGGGTTCTTAATATTTTCAGTCTTTGAGGCATTAAGTTAAAAAGGATATGTAAGAAGTAAGTTATGACATAGAATGGACATTTCTGATCACCTAATCAGACTTTCATTTTCAGTGGAAAACCTTATTATTAAAAGTAATGAGTTCATTGAAAATGAATTTATGAATAAGGTTGAGCTGGAATGAAGGAAATACTCAGAAACATGACTTTCATCTTTATTCTTCATAAAATAACCAAATAGCTGTTCACCCGCAACACTAAATCACAATACGATTCCATTTTGGTTAGCATTGAATAGGCTAGTTTGTATTCTGCCTCCCTGTGGATCATGAACAGAATTTTATAAAAGTGTTCTAAACTGGCAGATTTAAAGTTGGTAGGTTATATAGAGATTTATCAGACCACCATACTTTCAGTTTGCCCAAACAGATTATTTGCCCATCAATCCACGTTGGAAATCAAATTGGAATATTCCTTTGTTGCCTTTTTTCAAGTCTATACTAATATTCAGATAGTACAGTGAATACATTTAGCGTTTAGCCTTGGGAGAGAAAACTACACTGCCCTGAGAGCTATATACAAGATGGGCAATAATTAAGTATCCTATCCCTTGAGTTTCTATATATTATGAATTAACAACAATTTCTTCATTTTCCCCTTCCATGTAAGGTAAAATCAAGTGTTTTGCTAGCATTTCTCCTCCGCTTTTCTAAGCCATATATTTGTCATCGTGTATTTGTAGACATTCGTCAGGTTATTGTTTGGACAAAAAATTGGTCTCTTTGGAAAGGCTGCTGTGAGACATAAAGTTGAGGAACATATATTGTAATAATGATAAATTATGAATTTAAAAGCCTACATGGTCACCCATCGCAGCAGGTTTGAACAGCAGTGGATTATATAGTCAGCATAAGAACAAACTTGCACCAGAAAGTTTAAATTCTATTTTTTTAAAGTGAAATCTATCTCCATTAAAAACAGTTTATCATTATTTTTATACTGCTCTGGCTCTTTCTTCAGGAAAGGCAAAATAATATAATAGTTATTAAGTTGTGTGGCTTATAGAGTAGCGTTTTTGCATTTAAAAGCCTCGTCTTTCCAAATGGCTGTGATTGTGGTATTTGTTACTAAATATGCAAGATAGAGATTTACAATATATTCAGACACAAAGATATTTAAGCGATTTCAGCTGCTATATCTGCTAATGTTAAAACTGTGCATAGGAAACGTGTATACGTAGCAAGGATGCCCTCCAGTGGGGGGAAAAACCCACCCTCATTAGGTGCAAAAGCGTTACTAAACTTCCTGCTCTGATAAGAATGGTGCTATTTTCAAATATGGGCTGCTGGTACATCGAGAATATTTTGCATATAACAGAAAAAATTAATACCACTATTTTCCCACATCTGATCAAAGTTTTTCCCCATTCTCCAGACTGGTATTTAGTGGAAACAGAAACAACTTTGAATGAATATTTATTACTGCAGAGAAAAAGAGTGCTACTAATATCCTGGATGATAGCAGTTACTTATATCCTGCATAACTTGATAAATGCTGTAGGAAAAAAGAGACATCACACTGATATTTTATGCGGCAGTTACATAATGTATGAACAATATGCAGGCGTGTATTCATAATCAAGAGAACTGCATTTAGATCTGTGGGAATCTGTGAGGGAATTAGCAGCTAGGCTGGAGGGAGGGGTCAAGCAAGAGCCGAGCTTGGTATTATTACATAGCTGAAAAGGCATAAGCAGGACCTCCCCAGAATCCATGAAGCCTTATCTGGTCATTCCCAGGAGAAGACAAGCAGTGTGGTGAGATTCTTGTAACATAAGATGCCAAACAATAAAGTTCAAAGTGTTATTCACAAGGGATTTTGGTTGCTGGTACCTGACAGAATCTAACCTAATTAAGATTCTCAGTTAATGAGGGACAAAAATTTTGAAGTTAGGTATTTAACACTGATACCTTCTATGTGTCATATGGTAATCGTAATATGTAAAAAAAAGTCCTGAAGTATAGAATAAACTCTTAAGCTAAAAGCAATATCTAAGAACAACCACAGAACTAGAATGGCCTGATTATATTATTTGTCCTTTGATATATACCAGGGGTAGGCAACCTTGGCTTTTAGGACGTGTGAACTTCAATTCCCAGAATTCCTGAGCCAGCATGGCTGGCTCAGGAATTCTGGGAGTTGAAGTCTATGCGTCCTAATAGAACCAAGGTTGCCTACCCCTGATATAGACTAAGGACCTGTGGACTCTGTTGTGGAATCTTCTCCCTATTTCCTGGGGGAACTTAGCTATGCCAGCAAGGTTGGGGACCCCAGGGAATGGGTGAAAAGGTCAGGTGGCTCCATTACTATTATCATCCCTTCGACTGAGCTGTTTTTATCATTTTTAATGCTTTAATATTGGTTTAATGATGATTTTATTTATTTAGTTTTGTTGTATGCTGCCCAGAGTCACTTGTGACATGGGCAGCTCTATACATTATATAAATAAATAAAAATTATAAACACCTGGCTATCAAATATATGTTTGTTTTACTGATGAACTGGGTTTTTTTTTTTAAATCAGTGGGTTTTTTAAATGAATTGATACCAAAGTCTGGTAAATCAGAAATGCTGAGCTGCTGTTTTCTTGTATTTTTTCTGAGAATACCATTCATGTATCCTCGTACTATGAACGGGACAGAAGCTCTGCTCTCAACTTTAGCATCAATCTGAATTTAATTAATTCCCTCCCTTTGGCTGCTTCAAATAAACAAACAGGTAAACATGTTTGGTTATTACACTGAATGGGTTTTTCAACAGGGGACTGAAACCATACCTACATAAGATCCTGCTGAAAGAACATTTCAGAGCCACTTGTAAGCTAATTAAGTATTAGCATCATGACCTCCTTGACCTGGATTGTACTTTATGCAGGTGGTCAGATTCCTGTAGGCTCTGGACCTTCCTGATTGCGCTGCCTGTTTGCAAGGTGGTCAGGGTGGAGGGAGAGGGCCTTGGATGACGCTGCAGGGAGAGCCGTTCATCTTTCTTTCTGGTCCAAAGCTAGCACACCCTCCAGAGGCGCACCTTGGGAAGCGTGCAAGCATGTACCACAGCAGAGCTAGTAAGTTGGCAGCCAAACTACCTCTCTGCATTAGCACTACAATCTCCTGGCTAATGTAACAATGCCATACAAGAAGAAGAAGAACAATAAATAACAAAATATTTGATAGGCAAATTGAAGTTGAACGATGGTAGTAATAAGAAGCCGTGAAGCAATACCAAAAAGCGCTGTCTAGATACATGGAAATTTTGAACTTATTAGACCTGACTTTGCAAAAAGCCCCCTTACTCGAAAGTGCCCACATACTCAAAGGTTACCTTAACAGCTCTTAGGTCCTTATTTAGGACTTGAACTGTTAAGTTTTTACCAGTCTCAGACTATGAATCGAACTGAAGATTAAATCTGTAGTAGTAGTAGTAGTAGTAGTAGTAGTAGTAGTAGTAGTAGTAGTAGTAGTAATTCCATTCTGCAGTTAATAAATAAATACTCTGTTAAAGGTCCTACATATTGAATGCTGTGAAAAACTGAAGCCAAAAGAAGTTTAATAAGACAGCTAATAACAATGTCAAAAATAGAAAGATCAAAAGGCACTGAATTTTACAATTCTTTATGTGCTCTATTGTACATGATAATTAAAATATGCATTAACAGGTTTTCTGCATTACTATGGAAAATAAATTTCTGATATGCTAAATGACCATATTTTAAGAACCGTATCATCTCTCTTCTCTTCATTAAAGCTTTTTAAAGAAAAGCATTCTGCAAAGCAGCTGTCAAATCCATAATATATAGAACACTTTAAGCTAATTTATAACATTTACAAAGTTAAAAGGTGCACTAAAGGGACAAAAAGAATAAAATCTTCTCAGCTTTTAAGTACATTTATTTTTTGGATGATAGCCCTGTAGAATCAAAAATACATTATATTACAAAACCAGATTTCTATGCATATATATATGCATAGAAGGGTTCTATGCATATATATATATATATGCATGTTTGACATGAGTGTACCACAAAAAAGAGGGATGAAGAAAGATGGCAGTAGCAGTTCACTTAGTAGCTTTTCCTGAAGAAGTTGCTTGTTTTTACAGGCACTAAGCTTAGATCCCCTTGTGTTATTTAATTTTGCTGAAGCAGCCAAAGAAAAGATGTAATGGTTGTTCAAATATTGACAAAAGCTTTTCTCTTCAAAGAGTCTTTATTGGATTCTTTTTCAAATTCAGTGTATATTGCATAAACAAGTCTCTTCCAGACTGGTCTACTTCCCACTTGGGTTATCATGATGCATTTCTGGTGTGTATGTAAGTAGAACAATCATGACCCAAAGATGAAGCAGGACCTGACAAAAGAAAAATAGGAACAATGCATGGTATTTTAAATCAAAATAAAATAAACAGTTTATTGGATGCAAGCAATATGACTGATCTAGAAAGCTAACTTTGACTGAATTAGAGAACTAAGAGGGTCAACCCCTGGCTATTACTTGAATGGAGAACCATCTGAGAAATCCATAGCTAAACTGCAGACTAGATTGGGAAGCCAAATAAATATTATTTAAGAAGACAATGGCAAACAATTTCCATTTCAGATCAACAAAACTGCACAGAAGTATCCATGTATCAGGAATTGTATTGGATTTGAGAGTAACTTTAGCTTTTTTATACAAGAACCAAAGGCATCAGCAGGGACGAGTGGTGTTAAAACAGTCAGAATGGTAGAAGTGGCATTATGATGTAAGCTCTACCCCTTTTGTGTGTTGACATATGCTCGGAAACAGGTTAAGAATAAAGCAAAAAGCTTTACATTTAACAAGGACCTAAGTATGAATCACTATCCCAAATGTTGTCTGCTGCCCTTCATTGTAACGCCCCTTTTCCTGCTATGCTGCCCTCACTCACCAGAAGAGCCAAATGACCCACAACCTGTGTGCTGAAACCTCCCTGGATAGAAGTCATCTACTTCTGAACAAACAAACCTGTCTGCAACTCCAGCCTAGAATATCCCAGAAGGCAGAAGAAAGCAGGAAAGAGTGAATTTACTGTCTGCCGCATTATGTACGTTTGGCAGCGCCATCGTTACTTGAGATGCCACTGGATGTTGCCCCCTCCTATCTGTTTGTTGGTCTTGTGATATTTAGTTTGCAGCATTCTTCCTTTGTGTAGTGGCTAAGGTAAAAATTGGGGATGTTTTTTTATAGTTAAATGAACAGCCTCATGGAATGTAACCTGTTTGCATTGCTCTTTCACAAGCAAGACTAAATGTATACAATAACCATGACTGCCATCAGTTACTTTTTAAAAGTAACAAACTATGGAGATTCTCATTCATCCAGATCATGGTTGTCCCACAAGTGCTTTTTCAAAAGGCAACTGGACTTCGTTTTTCGCTGAAGACGTTTCACTTCTTATCCAAGAAGCTTCTTCAGTTCAGTTCAGAACTAAAGAAGCTGCTTGGATAAGAAGTGAAATGTCTTCAACAAAAAACAAAGTCCAGTTGCCTTTTGAAAAAGCACCTTTGGAATAATGAGCTACGGAATTTTAAAGACTTTATCGCTTGAAATGATAGTGAAGTGAAAAAAAGACACAAAAATACAAAATCTTCTTTAAAAGTTAAACTTGCATTAGATCCATCCTGCTGCACACTTACAAGAAGCAAATCGTATAAGTTCTTATTTATTTTTATCCCACTCTTATTATTTGTACAAATAACTCAAGGCAGTAAACATATCCAACACACCTTCCTCCTCCTATTTTCTCCACAACAACAACAAACCCTTTAAAGTGAGTGGGACCAGCTGGCTTTTATGTCACTTATATTTATACCGAACGGTTACGATTAATTATACCTCACCTCTTTTGTGTATTTCATTCACTGCATATCAGATCAAGATGAAATAGTACAGTATATAACGAAAATTGTATATGTTACATTATGAGTACATGAAGAAGACTCACCATGTAAATGATTACAAATACCCTTGCAATGGGATATCGGCGCAGAAAGATTCCAAGTCGAATGCTGTAACCAATTAGGATAAAAAATATTAGAAAATACCCTAGCATATATGTTGCATTACAGATTTGCATAAAGACACTATCAGATTGCAAGTTTTAATGATAATTCAAACTTCCCAATCATTCAGACTTTTCACAAGACCTCTGCAGATATTGGTTCAACATTTTAATCAAGATATCCACCGCAATATCAAGATTTCTTTAGGCGGTCTTCTTCATGGACAGAATTGCTTTTTCCAAGCAATCTTTCTATTCTCTGCCTTCTCCTCACCTGAACTGGTCTATAGTACTTGCAGCTTTGCGAACCTTGCCATACATTCCTGCCGCATTCACATCGAGGTCAGCAAAAAGGACAGGAACATTTCGCATGCGAGTGCCTAGAGGAATAATAATAATAATTTAAAAAGCAATTAGCGGCAGTAAAAAACATTTATAAGCTGCAATAAATATTCATGATATATATAAGGTTTGACGATATTATGAGAAAGCAAAGTAGAAAGAGGCCAATTTTAGATGCGTGATTTTATAATGCTTGTATTTTATCACAACTGCTCTGATAGAATGGAAATTTCAGACATATTTAAAAGGACTTTGGGTGAATATCTGAGGATTTTGCATTCACTTCAATTTTATTTTACTGAAATACTCCATAGGGCAGGCAATCTATGTCTGAAACTCTCCTCACAGCAGAACCCAGATTGCAAAGCTATTATCAGAATCACAGTGGCCTATTAAGCATCAAGTAATAGCAGAAATCTTTTGGAAAAGCTCTCTCAGTACTATAAAATAAAGCCATTTGAAGTAAACAGTAATTTTGTAACATGGAGATCAACACTGTCTCTGTTTTGCAAGTTTTCAGATGTGAATTTCCCTGCTTCTCTTATTTGTTTCATTACGTTTTTATGCCACCCCCATCTCCCCTATAAGGTGATTCTGGGCAGCTTTTCTTATATAACAAAATAGCTCATCTATATCCACAAGGGATGATAACTAGATGAAAAAAAAATCAGAAAATATTGGGAAGGCAGAAGGGAAAAGGGAAGGGAAACCAGGCAAAGACTGAGAGCACAGAGGCTGCTGAAAGAAAGAAAGAAAGAAAGAAAGAAAGAAAGAAAGAAAGAAAGAAAGAAAGAAAGAAAGAAAGAAAGAAAGAAAGATGGAAATTATGAATAGAGGAAAAGAACAGAGGAGGGTCGATTGGAAGGACTGACTGGTGTCATGGCAGAAGCATCAACATTAATGGGTGAAGTCAGTATTTCTCAACCGTGTCAAGTTTAAGATGGGTGGATTTCAACCGCCAGAATTCCCCAGCCAGTTGCAATAGTGCTGGCTGGGGATTTCTGGGAGTTGAAGTCCTCCTATCTTAAACTTGACAAGGTTGAGGAACACCGTATTAAGCTTTCCAGTTTATATGAGATATACAGTCAAAAATTCATTCCGCATTTTACCTTCACTGTGATCAATTCCTGCCATGTTAATGGAGGAGCCGTTTGCTGAAGCTCCTTGGACAGTTTTCAGCTGCTGCTCCAGTCGTTCCAGTTGATAGACTAAAGCATTTTTTTCTGTGCTGAGATTCTCCAGCACGGTTTGTTTCTGAATTAGCGTCTCTGTCAACTGATGTAGCCGATTTTCTAACTCTGTTTGGCTACTGCTGCTCAGTGTTTTGTTCGTTAGCTGAGGAGTGAACAAAGTACCATTGGAAGAGGGAAAGAGTGAGCACCTTCACTGGGAAGAGTGCAGACCGAACTAAATGCTTTTACTTGCATTTTGCTCTACGCTCTTGCTTTAGGGTGAAGCACATAGCTCAGCGTTCTTTCCCTTGGAAAAGCTGGGAGTGGGGAAAGGATCAGGACTTGCTACCAAACGTGCACAAAATGCTCTTAGGCAGTAGAATTTGACAGGGTCTCATCCCCTCCCCCTTTCCATTTTTGGAAAAAAACCTGCCACAGGGAAGAGGCATGGGGCTGCTTAAAGGTGAGCAGATTCCACACAGCATGCTCTACCCAGCATTTCCTCCTCCACCACCTTAAATATGAGAGATCAGACTTAGCAGAAGAAAGAGAGGTGAGCACATTCATTTGTTGTTAAAACATGTCAATCCAGAAGCATAAATCCAAATGTTGGACATATGTTCCATTTAGCTTTGCCTCCAAAGAATGATCTCCCTGAGACAGCATAACTTTGAAATAAATTGCCATTTGACTGACTGTACCCTTATTTTAAGATTTTTCTTTTTCACTGATTATTTTTTATTAAGAAAAGATAAATATAATAATTTTTAAAAGGTGAACCAATCTCACTTCAGGGTTAGCTGGTACGATGCTACAGGGCACGATCAAAAACTCTGCTTATTCAGAAATGGACGTTGATTACAAAATTAAGCTGATCCATTACCTGATTTCTTAGTTTCTGGATCTCCTCCTCTCTATCTGTTATTCGGCTTTGCAGAGAATTCTTCGTCCTATACAGTTCTTCCTCAGTATAGCGGAGTTCCTGGAAAAGTAGCATATCCAGCAGCAATTAATATATTAAACGTCATGATACAGCAAAACATGATGGTACTACCGTGACCTATTGTGTTTACAACTAGAAACTTACTTTCTTGTCTGCAATTGAAAAGGCATGGCTGGAGCAGAGAAGCTCTATATTAAAATCATAATGAACATTTAGAAATTCCTAGATACAGACAACAAATGGCAAAAGTGATATTATTAGTGTGGACCAGTTTCAACATATATCTGAAATGTAAAAAGTTGAAAGTATATAGCAGTGGTGGCGAACCTATGGCACGGGTGCCAGAGACGGTACTCAGAGCCCTCTCTGTGGGCACGCACGCCGTCGCCCTAGTTCTAGGCCTTCAGCTGGGTTTTAAAAAACCTTTTTGCTTTAGGTCTCCGCTGCCGTGTGCAAAAAAAAAAAAAGTTCAATCAATCAGTCAATTTCAACTTCTTGCGGGAAAAAAAAAGATCTTGCAAAGTTGGAATTGATTGATTGAACTTTTTAGTCCCACCCAGTCTGCCATTACCACCGCAGCCATGTCCACCCAATGGGCCACCCCCCCAATTGGCCACACCCACCCGACACCTGACGATGCATAAGTGGGTTTTGGGTTGCAGTTTGGGTACGCGATCTCTAAAAGGTTCGCCATCACTGGTATATAGATATTCCTTGGCTTTGTTTCTAGAGGTAGTCCTCGACTTATGACCACAACTGAACCCAAAATTTCTGTTGCTAAGCAAGGCAGCTGCTAAGTGAATGTTGCTCCGTTTTGTGACCTTTCTTGCCACAATTGTTAAGTGAATCACTGCAGTTGTTAAGTTAGTAACGCGAATCTGGCTTTCCCATTGATTTTGCTTGTAAGAAGGTCACAAAAGATGATCACATGACCCAGGGACATTGCAACCGTCATAAATGTGAGTCAGTTGCCAAGTGTCTGAATTTTGATCATGTGACCATGGGGATGCTGCAACAGTCGTGCAAAAAACGGTCACAAGTCCCTTTCTTCAGTGTTATCAACTTTGAATGGTTACTAAATGAACTGATGTAAATTGAGGACTAATTGTATTTCTTCCATAACGGTATTATAAGACTAGTGATCTCTGTGACAATAAGGAAACATTCAGAATTTTATAGGTAGTCCTCAACTTACAACAGGTCGATTAGCAATCTTTTAAATTTTATGACAGATCTCCCCAGGACCACTTATGACTCAGGTTTGAAGTTCTGATGGTGTCTGCTTGCAGTCATGTGGTTGCATTTTGAATGCTAAGCATTTATTGCTATTTGCAGTGTTCCACGGTCACATAATTGCAACTTATGATGTTTTTTTTTGCAGGAAACCAGCATTTATTTCTGGCTTCTGGGAAAAGGCACCCATTGGAGACAATGGATTCACTTAATAACTATGGTGATTACTTAACAACCACCACAAAAATGGGGCACAATAACGTGGTGGCCTACTTAATCACCAGCACAATGTATGGCCATAATTCTTATATTCCAGTGATGAAGATTGTATGCTATAGTGGCTCTGACTTAGCGAAAGGATAAGAGAAGTGTGGATGTTGAACTGCAATTTCTGTCATCCTAGCCAGAGTGACTAACAGTGATGGATGCTGTAAGTTTGAGTTCACCAAATGTAAAGCCACATTTTCAGTTGACTTAACAGACAGCACTTCTATTTAGATCAGCGGTTCTCAACCTATGGGTCGCGACCCCATTTGGGGTCGATCGACCATTTTTCGGGGGTCGGCAAAGAATGCGATCCGACATTTTCTCCCCTCAGGGGGCGGCGCCGCGCATGCGCGGAACGTTTGTGTGACGGGGGTCACCGTCACACAAACGTTGAGAACCACTGATTTAGATAGACCAGGAAACAATTTTTGTCTCTTTTGCTCTTCCAGAATAGAATGGAGGAAACAAAGTAATTATATTTGTAAAAATGAACAAAAACCGGGTTCTCCTAAGTGAGCAGGACTCCTATTTACTACTGTAAAGCCATTTCTACATAACCATGGGAGATTAAAAAAAAAAGCTACTCTTTTAGTATGTCATTCTTTCAAAAATTAGAAATACAATCTGAATAATTGCAGAAAACTAAGATTTAAGGAAGAGTGATGGCAGATCTACAGTAAACAAAAGACAATCCCATATGACATTAATGGTGAGGACTGGGCAAAAATATTGCAACCATGTTGATTTTTACAGATCAGGTGCTACAATTCAACTTCTCTCTACAAACCTATAAAATAAGCAAGGGATTTCGTCAGAGACAGAATATTGTTTTTGTCTCAAACCCCTCTTGGTCTTAATTTTAGCACTGTTTCAGCATGATATATTCATTCTCATATTATTTATCCAAGGTATTATTTAGCCCCACTAGATGAATAAAACAAGAATACTCGAGGGAATTAGATCTAGTTTGCCAATACAAACAAAACAGATGAGATTCAGGGCATTTCAAAGTATTTTGAAATGGGTTAAACATGAACAGTTATAATAAAACACTGCCATATGGCTTCAAGATATAGAATTAATATTATCTTTTGAAAACAAGCATGGATCTTTTGCTTTTTCATTAGTTCAATTTGACCCTGTCCAATTAATATGGAGTTTCTTATGAAACAGGTAATCTCCAAGATAAATAATCAGGGAAAGCAAATTAAACACCTTCCCTTGGATGGTTTCATCTACAGCAACTGTTCACAATAACAATAAAATCTACTGAATACAAGAAAGGAGACTTATTTTCAATCAAATAGAATTTACAGAAATTTGTTAGAAATCCTATTGTGACAATTTCTAGAGATCATTTTTTGTCAGCTAACTTTTCATTAGTGGCACCCAAGTGAAAAATTTGTGATTTAGTTTGCCCAAATAAGCAGTTGTGTGTGTTTAGGAGCTCCATAACACAATCCTTAATAAACAATAACTCATTTCAAATTTGCACATTATCCTGAGCTGACTGGATACAAAGATGCCCAGGGGCAACTTTTAACCAGGCATTTGCAAAATTCTTTTGATGAACAGAAGAAATACTTGAGTAAGAATTGTTCTTAAACCCAGTCAACTATTGAGTTAGATACAAGTTTGTTTCAAGAATACATAGATAAAATTCAGAATCAGGCAATACTGTTAAACACAAAGTATCAAAATAGCTGTCTAAATAATTTTGCTCGCTCACAAGGAAGTTTCTAACTATAGATGTTTTCATTTATTTAGCATATGGCTATGGATTTTTCCAAATTTAAACTTCAGAAGAGGATTTTGTACATCTGTAGGCTATTATACTGTCATAGGGGTGGACAAGTCCTGCTGACCTTTACCGATCTCAAAAGGGAAATGTGGTTGGGCTAGCAGAGAAGTCAAGAGCTTCCATCTATAGCAGGGGTCTTCAAACTTGGCCCTTTTATGACTTGTGGACTTCAACTCCCAGAATTCCTCAGCCAGAATTGAAGTCCACAAGTCATAAAAGGGCCAAGTTTGAAGACCCCTGATCTATAGCCATGTTTTTTTTTTTTTTTTTCAAACTTAGTGACTTTATTGGGAGTTGAATGAACGTTGGCTAGGGGATGATGGGAGTTAAAATCCGCACATCATAAACCTGTCATGTCTGAAAAATACTGATTGAGCCTGGAGAGTTAAAAAAAAACCCAAACCGTTTCTATACTGATGTAAAAAAGAAAATGACAGCGATGAATCTAAGTCACTAAGTTGAAGTTGACTTGACATAACTTTTACCTTTATTGTTGAGTTTCTAAATTGTGCTGATGCTAAGAAAATTTGTCACTTAAAACAGAATCCTATATCCGTCTCCCCCTTAAGCCATAAGTTTATTTATGCTTTCCTTTTAAAAAATAAAATAAAATCCTGCTCTAGGAATAATTCCATTTCATCTAAGACAGTGGTTCTCAACCTTTTTAATGCCGCAACCCCCAACCAGTCGTAAGTCGAGGACTAAACCGGTTGTAAGTCGAGGACTTTCTCTGCCCGGGAGTGCCGCGCATGTGTGGTGCCGTCCCCTGCGCCGGCTGAGGCGTAGCTGGCAAGCAGCAGAGACGGAGCAGGCCGACCACCAGCTGGCCCACCAGCTGGCCCAGCCCAAGGGAGGTAAGGCACCTGCCAGAAAAGGGGGAAAAAAATGGCAGCCTTGCTTGGCGACCCCCGTGAAATGGTCGATCGACCCCAAATGGGGTCGCGACCCATAGGTTGAGAACCGCTGATCTAAGAGATGTATTTGTCCTTTGTGTAGCACACTGCACTAAAAAAAAAAAAATCAGCTGGGGGAGTCAAAGATGCACAGAAGCACTGATTAAAGTAGGGTACATATGGTCCATGATCCAGTATTTGATCAATAAGAGTACTAACAATGTTGATACTGATCATTACACATATATGGCTTTTCTTTTAATTATGTAATTCCAATATATATCTTCCCCATATATGAGCCCCCAAATATATCACTACATATGGATTTTTCATGAGATTTAAGAGGAGAGCTCCTGAAATACCACTCAGCAAGCTATTTCAACTCTTCCCAATATTTACCTGTTTCTGCCTCTCTAGTTCAGCCTCTACTTCTTGTTTGGCTGTTTTGTGCGTCGCAATCTGATCCTGCAAATCCTGAATTTGCTCTCTTGTGGAGTCAGCTTCAGTTATCTGCTGTGCTTCCATATCCTGCAGTTCAATTCTCAGTTGTTGCATTTGGCCTCGCAGCTTCTGTACTTCTTCCTTTTGCATGTCCCGTTCATGCCTCAGTTCCTCTAACTCCATAATGCTTGCTGTTTGACTATCCAGACCTTCAATACCAGAGCCTTCTTTCAGACTGTTTATCAACTTTTCCTTAGACTGAGATGCAAGGACAAAATTAAGGATAAGTGAAATTGCATTACAATCCTTTGTTTGTTAACTGTAACCAAAAGGCAGATTGTAAAGACAATAATGGAACCCTATTTGTGCTCAGCATCAACACTTTGCTTTGGAACACAAAGTTTCCATATCTAACATCAGTAATTGCCTAAATATAAAGGTCAGGAATTTATGGACCTTTAGCAGTAATTGGAATTTTAATCTCTCATCACTCACTCCTACTGCTTGTGGAGGATAAAATTGGTGGGAGTTGGAGTTGAACTCCATTTGAGTGGGACACTCAAATAAAATATATGGCAAATCTGAGCAAAACGTACATGACATCAAGTTCCCTGAAAACATTATTTCATAAAAAGTTCTGCTGAAACTTTTCAAGTTGAATATAAAATTATATCAAATGCACAATTTCTTTAACAAGGATTTTTCAAGGATGAGTGATCCCTATTAATATTTTTAGTCCTTTCAAAACATGCTAAAAGACAAACCTAACAAGTGTTTTATATTTTATTATTCTATTAATAAATTGCAGGACAGCCTTCCCCATCTGTCTGTTTAGCAATGTCAGGACCTGGACTTTGTTGAACAGGATTACTGTAGTGAGCATTACCTGAAGTATGCGTGTAGCTTTCTGCTTATAGTCCACCAACTCTTGCTTAGCAGACTCCAAGTTCGCTTTGGCTATTTTAATTTGCTGTTGAAATTCCTCTGATTTCCGTTTCTCTTCCACATATTTCCTCTCGGATGCAGTTATAGCTTCAGCCAAGTTCTGACGTTCAGCTTCCATTTTACTTAGGCGAGTTGCAAATTCATTCTGACAGAGGAAGTTTTGTTTGGTTTTAGTACAAAAGAAAAAAAGAAATGCTTGCGTTTGTTATTCTAATTTATTATAGATGAACAATCATAATAATTAAGAGAAGAGTTTGGACTAGTGGTTAAGACACCAGGTTAGAAATCAGCAGACTGTGAGTTCTAATCCAGCTGTGGGTATGAAAGCCAGTTGGTTGACCTTTGGGCCAGTCCTTTCTCTCAACCCAATCCACCTCATAAGGTGGTGGTTGTGGGGAAAATAGGAGAAAGGAGTATTAGGTATGTTCATTGCCTAGAGTTATAAAAAATAATAGAGGCAGGATATAAATAAATTAGTATGTAAGTAAGTAAGTAAGTGCATATATGCAAAAATATTTTATGTCACTCTGTCAATTAATAGCTGAATAAGATAAAATGGTAGGGCTGATCACAGAATTCTAGAGCTAACAGATGTGGAGCAGGGTTGAGATGAAGAAGTACAACACCCATGATCCTATTTGATCTCTCAGTTGCTTTTGATATCATCAATCATGGCATCCTTCTGGGCTATCTCTGAGGACTGGAAGGAAGGAAGTTTTGCAGTGATTCTTTTCCTTCTTCTGGGGAGTGGAGGTGATAGATATGTTAATCCCAAAGGCTTTCCACTGTGGAATGTCACAGGACCTAGCTTTTATTATCAGCTGTTATTAGTTTATTACTTGTTACTATTCACACTGTTTTATGTTTATGTTACTATTTATTGCTTTAATTTTTCTTGCTTACTGTCCTCGTGAGTATGCAACTTAAGGGTCACCTGTAGCTGAAATGGCTTATGAGCCTAAATGGATGTGAATGGATGCACAGTGAAAGGAGGGGAAACAGATTGCCCAGACTGACCCTTACTCAATACTGATGTTTGAGATTTCATACTAATACAGCAGTCTAAGATACACTGCTTGAGGTCTGCTAACTTGCTGGAGTACCATCCATCTACATGGAACAGCCTTTTCCAATCTAAATGAGTGGATGTCAACTTCCAGACTTCTATAGCAATGATTGGCTGGGAAATTTGAAAACTGAAATCCAGGTATCTGAATGGAAGGCATTATTTTGTGTGAGCGTGGGGGGGAACTCTGATATGAAAGACGGGATAAGTAGACTCAATTCTGATTTCCCACTGCAGACACATCCTGAATATGAGGGTATAAATGAATGTTGTTCCTTTCCCAGGTTAACTTACAGTAGTGGCCAAAATTGTGGAAACCTTTTGGGAAAAGTGTACAGTAGAAATGCTACCTTTAGTTAAGTTTCCACCAATTTTTCTTCTAATTTCTTTATAACTGTAGCCTTGTTCACTTAATAATACTATTTTACATCGCTTTCTGGGCAACCAGTCAACTCTTTGCACCATTACTTTAATTTTATTACATTTTACAAGCTCACTAAATGAAAGAACACAAAAAAACCCAACCAACTTGATAGCGATCACATAACACACTGATAAATGTCCTCCTCTCAGCTTCAATACATGACATCAATAACTGAATCCTACTGTGATCTGATTGGCTCATTGTCAAACCAAGATGACACCTGATTGGCTCTCTAAACCCTCATGCTCATTGGCTGCAATCAGATGAAGGAAAGCTACCTGATATCAACCTAAGCAAGTTGTGCTTCCTTTTTCTGGTTATTTGGCTATAACTTTTCATAAAGTACAGCACAGATAATCAAACAAACTTTGTTGCATTACATTCTTGATTAAATTATCTTTCCATTGATATATAATTTTGTGGTACTACTCCCGAAGAAAAGTGGTGTTATTAGCCATCAAACCTCAAAAATATACTTTTCCCAAAAGGTTTCCACAGTTTTGGTCACTACTGTAATTATGAGACCTCTAAAACCGTATTTTTAATTGTTCCAACAATTTGAAAATAAATATTAGTCAGGACCAAGGGTCCTCAAACTTGGCCACTTTAAGACTTGTGGACTTCAATTCTCAGAATTCCCCAGCCAGCTGTGCTGGCTGGGGAATTCTGGGAGTTGAAGTTCACAAGTGCTGGCTGGGAAATTCTGGGAGTTGAAGTCCACAAGTCTTAAAGTGGCCAAGTTTGAGGACCCCTGGTCAAGACCAATAAGACCAAAACTTATCACTATCAGATGTAACTGAGATTTTGCTTTGCATCTGCATATATTTGGTCTGTTCTCGTTTACAGCATGTTCGTAGTCTGCAAAAGGCCTTCTTGGAGCTTCAGCAGGAATTGATCTTTGTACTATGGCCCAATTATATGGAAAAGCATAGTGTGGAGTTGGGAAGTGAGGAGAGGATTTCATTATTTACCTTTCTCCATGTGAGAAAAGAGAAATTAGAGAAGGCCCTAAAAACTCTCAGTCCAAACCTCACTTAAATTCGGCAAAATTTACACATTGCACAAAGCTGGATGAGCAGTTGACAGAAAGGCAGCCTTCCAGATGATATGACTAGCAAGTGTCTCAACAGTCACATTTTAAATCTAATACTAGGTTACTGAAGCTTAGGAAATTTGCACAGGAATGGATCTACTTTTGAAGTAGATCATGACTCGGGCACACAATGTATTTCAAAGGTACCTGAGCTTTCATTCCATGCACATATAATGTGAACTTGGATCCGGATGGTGGACCTTAGGAGTCTGGTCAGAAACAATCTTGATCTAACACAGGGCTTTTCAACCCGTGGTACGGGTCCCAGCTGTGGTACACTGGCAGCTGGCAGGTGGTACGTGACCATCCTTGAAAAGTGGTAGCGGGGTAGGGGAATGAGCTGAACCAGTGGCAGCACCGCACAAGCCTGAGTGAGATGGCTGGAGCTGCAGGGCTGTCAGGGCTGAGCGGAAGCGCCAGGATCAGTACCGCTTTCCAGATGATCGGCGCTTCTTTGGGGCTGTCAGGGCTCAGTGGAAGTGCCAGGATCAGCGCCAGGCTCCAGCTGGAGTTCGGTGCTGATCCTGGCGCTTCTGCTGAGTCCAGAAGAAGCGCCGATCAGCTGGATTGTTGCAGCATCTCCAGGGTCTTGTGATTTACATTCAGATGCTTGGCAACTGATTCATATTTATGACGGTCACAGTGTCCCAGGGTCATGTGAAGTGACCAAAACCTGCTGCAACCACCCAAAGCCAAACACACCCCACCCCACCCCCGCTGCCAATCCTCAACAGAAATGTTCACAACAATGAAAACCTCGGACAGGAGGAAGAGCACGGCCAGGTGGGCAGGCGGGTGTCTTGCTCGGCTGTGGCTTGCGGGCACTTTTTTCAATGCCATTGTAACTTCAAACAGTCACTAAGCGAACTGTTGTAAGTCGAGGACTACTTGTACTTTATCACTTTTTTCCTTTTGGGGGGGGGGTCATCAGGTTTTTGACACCTTGCTAGGCCACTGGTGGTACTCGGATGTTGCCATATCCTAAAAGTGGTACAATGGGTGAAAAGGTTGAAAAGCCCTGATCTAACAAATCTGAAGTGTCTCTGTCTCTATTACTGAGATATAGTTCTTCAATCAGTGAAAAAATTAAGCAGCATTCCCCGGGACTGCTATCTAACCTGCATCTGCTTGTAGTTGTCTTGCTCCCGCCTAAGAGTGGACTCCGCTTCATGTAACCGTTCCTGAAAAGTCTGGAGAGCTTGATTGTGCAGGCTGTTGCCTTCGCTATTATCCTTTATTATTCTGTATTGGTAGAGGACAAAGATTTACGGAAACATCTTTTAAGAATCATATTCATCTCTGGTGGCTTCCTGTATATATTACTCTGTATTCTGCAATGCTTGCTCTCCATCCCTCCACATCCTCTTGCCATTCCCAACATCAGTGCCGGTATTGGGTTACAGCTTTTGTTTTATATAGATATATATTATCCTTGGGTTATAAGGATAAGGTTATAAGGATGTCCAGAATTTGGTTTCAGTCATTTAAATGTTTTAAATAAACATTTAAATAAACAAATAAAAAACGCATGCAAATCCTTTTTCAATTATCTGTAAGGATGTGTGACACAAAACAAGGACCAGCCTTGCTTTCTAGCTCATCAGAATACAGATAAATAATAATGGATTTAAGTGGCAGGAAGGCAGATTCTAACGGAATCTTATGAAAAAAACACCTTTTGAACAGTTAAGACCAGTTTGGAATCAATTACCCAGAAAAGTGGTTGGTTTTCCTTAATTGAATGTGTTCAGAGATTAGACAACTTAACTTTAAGCCAGAATTTTGCTCTGAGTAGGATGCTGGACCCAATGGCCTAAAAGGCCTTTACCAACTCTGTGGTTCTAGTCGATGACAGAAACATTATTTTTGAAACATTTAATCCAATCCATATTTCTTCTTTCAGTATTACTTTAATTTGGTCAACAATTTTTTTCTATTAAACAAGAAAAAGACAGGAGTGGAAGGGGGCTGGGTAAGGAGAGCCAGAAGTTTTAAATCACAATGAAAATTAACCCCTGCAGTAATCATCCTACCACCTGAATTTCTAAAATGCCTTCTTTCCCTTCTATTTTCATGGCATGATATGTCAACATAATTTTTCCCATTTAAAGTCAGGGATGCAGTAAACAAGAGTACAGGAAGAAATGAAAATACTTAAATCATGCCTGGAATTATATTTTAACCGAGTAGTTTTTCTGCTTTGAATAACATATATTAATCTGAACAAAGCCTACACTCTCTTTCAGAATGTAAGCAAAGTATCCACAGAAAAAATAAAGTAATAACTTCCACCAAATGAAAAAAAAACAATAGAAAATTGGTTCCTTCCCCTTTTGTTTTTCAAGAAGAGAAAGCATAGGATAAAGAGGAATCCTCTACATGTCAACCCATACCTTTCCTATTAACATATTATTTAAATTAAATGTTCCTTAATACGGAGAATTAAGATCAGCATACAGACACATATATCCATACACAACTATTTGGGCACTGAGCATAAAAAAAATTCCAGGATGCAAAAATAATTTTAACTAACAAGAGGGATGAATAGCCAATAAATTTAAACCTAAATAGCCCGATCTCTCCAATAATACATTGATGTGATAGATGCTGAATACCTTGATTTTTCATTCTGCAGAGTTTCCAGGGCTTTATTGCGTGAACTCAGAAGTTGATCAGCCTCCTGTAATCTCACTTTGAGGACAGCCAATTGGGAATCTTTGGCAGCGGCAGCTTCAGTCAGATCATCAACTTGAGCTTGAAGTTCCCGAACAAGTCTGTCATTGTTTGAATTGTCAGCATTCCACTTTTCAACTCTTGCCCGGGCATTGGTTAATTCTATAAAGTTGAGGTTGGTAAATATCAGTAAGTTTATAATCCCTATTATTATGTATGCAACATGATTCTGTCAGTAATCAAAAATAATTATTTGGTTCCACGCCAGGATTTTTTTAAAATTGTACTTTGTTATTAAGACTATATGTCCTGGTTTAACCACAATGCTTAAACCAGAATGTCTGGATTTAAATATCCAACAAATCCAGAAATAAACTTTAATTATGGCTTAGCATAATACATAAATTCAGTCACGTTTTCAGTCATCTAACTATTGTAGGAGAACCAGTTTGAGGTATTGGTTAAAGGAACTGGGCCAGAAATTGGAGAATGTGAGTTCTAATCCTGCCTTAAACCTCAAAAAATCTGGATGACTTTGGGCCAATCACTCTTAATTCTAGAAAGAAGACAAACCACTTTCAAAAAAAGGTTGCTATGGAAATTCCATGGAGTTGGAGTCAAGGTTGACTTGAATGCACAAAATATATAATATGAAACAACTATGGTTAGGATATTAAATCATATTGGAAATGATCATTATTCCTTTTATTCTTCCACAAATCTACATGAGTTCTTCCATTTTTCTCCTGAATTTGATTACAGGGTTTGCAATGACAGTAATCTTTGAAAATATCAATCAGCTTCAAATCCTGCTTATACTGACAAGGCTTATGCCAATTGAAACAATGTTCTATAGAAAAACAAATAATGGAAACAAAGGAAGAATTCACATAGAAAAGAGAAGATGAAGAAACATGGTGCATGTTCTATCTCAAATCCTAATTAGGAGAAATATTATATTTTGAGTCTAACATGGAGCTATGGCATTATTAGGGATGGGGAAAAATGTTTACATATAAACCAGGTACGTACCAATAAACCATTAGACAGGTGGAAGTAAATTACGGAATGAGACATATTCATTTGGCTATACAAGAAAAAATTAAAAGAGCTCATCCAAAAGAAAAAAAATACTTTTAGTAATCCCCGATTTAACAAGTTTCTATGTGAATGTCATCCCAATGCGCAACAAAAGAGAATACAGAATGTAATTTGGTCTATTTCAAAGACATTATTTAGCATCTAACTTTGCTATGGAACACAAAACATCTTGTTTTGACAAATGCCACTAATTTTTTTAAAGATGGTCCCCACTTGGATTGGACAGATTAAAAAAGACTTCTTTAACCAGCAGCCCACCAAACCTGCACTCTACCTGTTTGGGTTTCTTTGGCTCGCTGAATCAATGATGCCATTTCTTGATTTAAAGATTGCACTTCGTTACGCAGTAGTTGATTTTCAAGGCGAAGATTGGACAGTTCATGTGATTTACCATCATTAAGATTAAGATTGGGATTCATTTCTGGGGTTTGCAATGAATCCTTTTTAATATCCACATCAGTCTCCAATCCAGAACTGGAACTATCAGATGTCTCTATACAAAGAGATTCATATTTAACAGATCCTTTCTTTCTTTCTCTGTTCAATTTCTATGACAAATTATATAGCTACTGAAAGTCCCACCGAGTTTAACAGGATTGCTACAATAAATAATTGTACATTTAGCTTATAACCACAAATATTAAAAAATCGTTACCAAAATAATTATAACATGTCTATAAACATGATACACTCTAACTTCACATATACTATAAGCAAACCAAACTTCTGACATTTTAAATATAGGAGATCATACACTGTTAATTTATGACCAGCAAAATTAAAGATTTTACATATAAGTGCCTATAAATGCACTTGCATGCAAAGTGGTAAACCTCAAATCACAACTGTCACTGTGTTCATTTCAGCACACTGAAAGCCAACAACCCCTGTTGTTGGTTGGATGTTACTCTGCCTAACAAAACCAACTTTGCAATAATAAAGGTAATATATAAACTAAATCTTACAACTAGAAATGAAAAAAAATGATACCTTCTAGATATTTTGGATTATAATTCTCACAATTCAGGGCCAATTTCCATGCTGGCTAAGGCTGATGGGGGCTGAAATCCAAAACATCACAAGAGTACCCATCTGCCTACTGCTGTCACATCACTTTTGAGAGTACACAAATAAAAGGAAAACTATGTAGTTTCACAGGTAATTAAAACAGTTACTAAAATAAGCACCCCTGGCTTTTTGCTTCACTGGTTCAGTTCCCGCAGTATTTTTTATTTTATTTAGCAAATAACGCTATTTTAGGGATAAACAAAAGTTCAGCAAGGGTGAAAACTACTTAGAAATATGATGCACTCTTATCATAAAGAAAGATGGCCACCTACATGAAATAATGAAATGTAGTAAAATGGAGCCTGTTCCCAGGGAAGACTTAAAGGCTTTTATACAACATTTTGGAGCATTGTGTGCCATATTAATAAACAGATACATTTGGATTGCTATTTTAAGTACCCATATCTCTGTTTGCAAGAGGCAAGTAAGGCCTCAAATTTAAATGAATTTCAGAAGTGCATCGTGCATTTTACAATTTGCAGCAATACTTTTAGAGAAATAAAAATAAATAAAAACAAGACAAAGCTTCAGAATTAGTAATGCAATACTGACTTGTCTATACACGCTCAGTATGGATTCAAATGATTAAATACTTAATTTATTTAAATATTTAAACTTGCATCATCTCAAGGGACAGGGATTGCTGGAAAATTATAGAAATAGTACATTCAGTGAACCTGTACCAAGAAAATAGAAAACCCTGATATTTCTACCTTTGCTCCCCATGGACTAACATTATTATTATATTTAATAAGATTATATCACCTGCTTTCATCCTTAAAAATCATTTACACAGAGGGCAATCTCCACCTCTTTATAACTTATATGAATGCTGCTTATGAAACAAGCATTAGGAAATCACACAATTATTGCTAATTTACAAAAGAAGCTTGGTATGAAGGATTAGTAGTCTATCTGCAATCTGGTGCCTTGAGTGCAGTTCCCAGAATGCAGATTTGGAGAGCTTCTGTATTAACCCATCTGGAGAATAGGTAAACATGGCTTTTCAATAAACTATCTAGATGCTTTGATTAGAATTTAGGAGATATTCTGGACTGGGATCCATATGCTTATATAATCTTACTTTAGCCAACACAATCAGAATGGCACTGGATGATCATCAATATCAGACCAGGATCCTGTCATCACTAACACCCTTCAAAAGAATCCTTAAAACATTCCTTAACATCTGTGGTTATGCTTAACTACCATTGTCTTGACTTCGAATGGAAGGCTCTTCCCCTGTTTTGATGCTGTGTGAACTTGCTGATACAGAACTAATACTTGAAGTCCGAGAATGATTTTGAACAGTGGCTGCTTTGCTCTTCTCCCTTTTCAAGTCCTTTTTCCCATTAGGTTCTTTTTCAGAACTATTCAGAAAGTCAAACAGGAGTTCATCATTTGGTTCAGATTTTTTCCTTCTCACAAATTGGAAAGAGGGTCTGGACACAGAAGCTGTTTCTGTGGATGGAGATCCTTCCACAGAGGTCCTGGATGCTACCTTAATATTGGCAGTTCCTGCTAAAATTGTTGCCTTTTGATGTTTAATGTTGTCTGCTGCTGATGAGATAAAGCTTGATGTAGATGATGCATGTCCCTGCTGCTCTCTGGTCTTATATGGCTTGGGATACACGCTGACATCATCCACCTGGCTACTGACATAATGTATACCGCTTGCATCTTCTTTCTTGCTTAAAGCTGATGCAGCTCCTTGGTCTACTCTATTGAGAAGGTCCTCTGCCTTGCCAGCCAGGTCAGCAAACCAAGACATAATGGAAATCAAAGAATATATAGAATTTTACCATCCAACATTCAACCTGGGAAAGAAAAATACAAAGAACAGAAAAGCTATAGCACATAGTCACAGACTAAATGTCAAAAAAAAAATGCATCTTCTGTTCTTTGAAATGTAGTAATGCAATCAATATAGTTTGCCTTTCCCATTCTGCATTATATGTGTTCCCACATTTTTACAGACAGCCCAAGATGAGAAAAGATACATTAGTGCACCATTCCTAGAAACAAAAGTACCGTAGGATGTCAAAAGTAAGATAAAAGCATAGGTTCAAGCTGATAAAATATGCAAATGTTTCTCTATATTTTAGAAGAGGACTGTGGAATAGTCAGGCATGAGATGGAAAAGGTTTGATTTACATCACATTTATTTTTTTGCTCATAAACTTTTCCCTTGGATTTCTAAGAGATTACGGCATCTCTTTAAGGCATAATTTGCCTTAAACAGGAATCAGTTGTTTTGGTAGTACAAATGACTTGCTGGTGGTTGATTTGGGGTACAGTAGTAGGCAATTGGCTAGTATCAGCCAATTACTAGGAGACCTGCATATCTAAGCCCAAGAACACAATCCAGTTGGAAATTTGTCTCTGCAATTTGCCCAAACTACACAAGAAACAAACATGGATATTTCTAATCTGTTAAATTTAGGGAGAAGGCTGAATTCAGATGGTTTATTTCTAAACAGTTACATCAAGAAAATATGTGCAAAATAATATTGGTGACATAATTTACTTTAGCTTCAAACATAATGCAGGAAATTATGTAACATCCATTCATTTAATAAACTATAGAAACAATTGTGATTTTCCTTTCTGATTCTTATCTGCATTATTACTATATGGGTAATCTATACATAATGTACCCATATATTACCTACATTATTACAATTATTATTAATTCTTATCAGGAAGTCCAAAATGCATACAATTTCCTAAGTATAAAATCAGTCGAGTGTAAAAGATCATGTCCAAGTCTGAAGATTCAATTAAAATTGTTTTACTGCTACTCATGTTGATGCACAAAAATAGTCTTAGGTAATGGTTAGCATCTGCTAGGAGTTAGAAAGGATCAAAGGAATTCAAAGGTGTGTGTGTGTGTGTGTGTGTGTGTATGTTGGACTTGTGGCTATGTAGAGATTCTAGGCTGATCCCTCTTTTAATTCTACCCACCCCCAGATTCTGCCACTCCTTCCTCTACAAATCAGGACAGAATGATCTTTCTGCCAAAAAGAAATAAGCCCTGTGCAGCTGCTACATTTTTTTTTATTAATGTATTAGGCCAAACTAAACTAGTCCTTGTTATGTTATTCCTGGGAGCCAGAGGTACATCATCTCTGAAAGGTTTATTCCTAATCAATGTCCAAGTTCAAAATACAGTATGTTTCCTTCTGTTCTATAGCTCCAGGTCATTTGGAACTGAATATGTAGTGAATGGGGGTGTAGTGATCTTCCTTTTCTCATTATCCTCTTGGAAGAAATTATAAATATGTTTAGCATAAAAATCCTCAGATTATGGCCTTATCAACTTCTGCCATTTTATCACTTACATTTTACAACTGATCACTTAAATGCATTACCTGAAAACAGTTGTATTTTGCATACAAAGGAAAAACTTTAGGGTACGTTAGCCTCAATATTCTCATATGCTAGTACTGATAATGTTACCTAGTTTTGAGTAATGAAACATCTGCAAGAAAACAACCAAGCTCAGAGAGCTCTCAATCCTTATTTCAACCCCAAGCTACAACTATTCTCCTTTAAAGAAAAAAACTTGTTCAAAAACAGAATTTTTGGTAAGCATGTAAATGGCATGGCCATATGGTATTTACAAATACTGTGTATTATTTGGTGCCACCTCTAAGTTAGGATAAATTGATAAGAAAATGGAACAATAGTGTAGCATGCCAGGGAGCTAAAATAAGAATATTTGTACATGCATTTGATATTTGCAGAAGCTCTTGGTATTAGTCTACTGTACTCAAATTTGTCTATTCTCTGTTTACTTAAAAAAAAAATCCAATCCATGCACTCAATCTTATTCTGCCAAAGATTTTCTCCTACTCTCTATCTAACATCCTCACTTTGGGCCAGATGCCCTCCCTTGTTCTCTTAACTATCGTTAACTTTTATCTCTTTTTTCCCCCTCTACACGAGGGAAAAAGGACGCTAATTTTTCACACTATCAGTAAACAGCCTGTTAAGCTTGCTCCTCTTTTATTTGACTGGGTTTCTCTCTGTCATGGCAGCTTTTCAACAGGTAAAGAGATCTCTGCTACTGCTGAACGATGACGCTAGCAAAACCTGCATTGGCTGAACCTACCCGGCAATTCGTGGTAATTGCTGCTACAAGAAGAGCAGGAAAGGGGCAAAAGACACGAGACAGGCTCGAGTCCCAGACGCTATAAACTCTTGGGTCTTTATTCCTTTTCCCGCCCCTCCGATTTCCTCCATCTACTCAGGACACCCCCCCCCACACACACACACACACCTCCGGTCTTTTAGGCCTCTGTTTACCCCGGATTTCTTTCGACACCGATTCTGCCACTATCCCTTAAATCAAGAGCCCAAAGCAGACTCGAAGTATCGAGACAGGATTAAAAGGAGGCAAACTTGACAGCGGTTACCGTCAGTCCGCAGAGGCATCCGGATAAACCTTCCGGGAGACGTGGCCACAGGCAGGCGAGCACAAGGACCCAACGGAACTTCTCGCTTTCCAGCTTTGCAAGGCGCCGGCGCGGGCTATACCTGCCGGGAAGTGATGCAAACACGCATGCCCGAATCTGCGCGCTTCCCGTAGACAACGGGGGCGTTCAGGGCAGGGAAATGGGAAAGAGGTTGTAGGAATAAGAGTTGGTTTTTGCTTTGCGTTGAAAGGAAGAAAGGGAAAAGAATCGCGTTTTTGATTGGAAACGCCAAAGTGATACTGACTACGCGTTTATGACGAATATGTGCGCTGCAATCCAGATCCGTATGCAGAACGGTATTTTTTCAACCTTGGCAACTTTGAGTTGTGTGGACTTCAATTCCCAGAATTCTGCTGCCGGTATTGGTGGCTTAGGAATTCTGGGAGTTGAAGTCTATACACTTTAAAATGTTCCAAGGTGGGAAACACCGATCTAAAATGATGCATTATACCAAGTTACGTCTAGCAAAATCTTTTAAGTTAAGGTTACATCCGATTTTGTCGGATCAATGCAAAGGATTTGCTGCTGCAGTTTCCAGAATGTTTATATATTATATATTTCACCATCTAGCCTAGTTTTATCATTTCCTAGTGCTCTCCCATCCAAGAACTATCCCGTTCCAATTTTGCTTGCCTTTTTGAGCTCAGCCAATAGTAGTAACTTTAGGAGAGTTATTGTCAGCATTATGCATTTTCAGATAATATTTTCAAGGCATCGTTTGAAGAGCTATTTTGCTTTTATTAATAACAAATGTGATTAATAAAAATATCAGAAGTGTGCTTTGAATATATGCAACATGTTTCTTATACAAACACATCAAGCCTTTACAGTGAATTCAGTGTAATTGTAAAGCTTGATTTATGTTCAGATATTATATACATAACAATATAAACATCTATGTAATATATTTTACTGATATTACTGCAATTGCCTGATTATACAAATTTTTTAAATTAGTGTGCAGGGCTTTTATTCTTTATTAAAATATCTTGAGAGGTATTATACCTCAATCTAATTTTTAGGGAGAATACTTTGTTCATTATTCATATAATCATGTTAAAATAATAAAGATGACTAAGATAATGGAGTCATCTTTGAAGTAGGAAGACATGAGGAATTATGTCCTTAATTAGGCAATTTAATTTTTAAATTTGAATGTTAGCCTCAAGCTAATGATGGAATTTTAGTTTTCATCCAGCAGAGGACACTGTCCGAAATCTTTTAGTCTCTTTTAAAAATGGGTTTCAATTGCTGAGAAAAACATATATAGTAAAATGTGAAATATATTCACAGCACTGGGGAATAGCTTTTTTCTCTTAAACCATTTCATGTATTGTGCTTGGATTTGGTATTTTACTATATAAAATTGACTTTCCTGTTTTTTAGAGCATTTCTTCTTTCAAGAAGCTACTATTTTTCCTCTAAAGAATGGACAGCAGAAATGGGAATATTTGTTTTAATTAAGGAAGGATTGTGAGATAAATAGTAATACATATATATCACATGTATGTTACACACACACACACACATTTAAGGAGTGGGGAAAAAAGGAAAGGCTAAAAAATCACTCAAATCAATGGATTATTGAACGAATCAACTCACTGGAAACACAAATGATCAGGCTCATATTATCCTACTTAGGACACATACTGGAAATGGACTCGATCAATGTGTCAATGTATGCATCATTGGAAAATCTACAAGAACAGATTAGGGACAGATCATTAGAGAAAAAAAAACTATAAGGCTACTAAGAATAGGCACTGACTTGATGGCATATAATGAGTGATTTTCACAGGTAGATAGTCCATAGGTAAAATCTGTTTAAGGCATATTCAGTTATTCACCTCAAGAATAAGGTAGGATGAAAGGACTAAAATATGACTCACTAATCTATGATTCAGCTTGAAATGCAGATTCATTTATCCCTATTTTTCCAGTTAGAAGATTTTTTTAAATCAATTTCTTTGTAGGATAGCGCAATATGTGCAATTTGATTCTAATTTTTAATGAGAAAATGTGAGTAAAATTCACCTACAATTGCTAAGGAAGGCCAAAATGTTAGGAGAAATTCGGGAGTATTTTATACTGCGGTCAACCAGGTTAAATGCTATATACAAGTGTTTGTAGGAATGCGACCTTTGGGCGATTTGTATAAAAAGGAAACTCGCTAATCCGGAGAAACCGAGGGAACTCTTCAGCAAACATGTATCGGGCTGCACAGGAGCTTCCTTCCCTCCCAGCACTAATCCAGCCGCAGCCTCGACTACCCACATCCACCCGGGTTTATCCTCGGATTGCTATCACAGTTCCCATCATGCAATGCTCCCTCAGACGACAGCCTCCATCCCGAGGGATTGCCATCCTGCGCACTCGGGCCTGGCCCCTGGATTTGTTTTGCTGGGAGGCCAATGGTCGCAAAGTCCGCCAATCACGCGCCTGCCCCACCTCTTGTTTCTCCCCCCCCCCTTCTCATAAAGAGCCTCCGGCAACCGCACGAACCTCCGGCGCCGCTGTTGGCTCTCTGTCTCCCGAAGGAACAGAGGTGGAGAGGACGTATCGGGCGAGAGCAGCCCCACTTACACCACCGCCTCGTATCTTCTTTTAGCGTAGGTAAGAGCCCATTTAAATGTTGCTTGGAGGGAAGAGCACGTGGAATTCATAGGTGGTGGGCATTAGCTTGCAGAAAGACCCCACTCGGGCTGCTTGCTGGCGGGCACGGGACGGAATTGGGATTACATTTCCCGGACTTCATCCCTCCCTCTTGAAGGGGCGAATGATTCGATTAAGGTCCCAAGTATTGCTGAGCTGGATCAAGACCTCGAAAGTATCCAGCAGTTCACCCTGCCGAGGGTCGCCAGAATGACAATAGCTATTTCCTGTTGTTGGTTTCGGGATGGAGAGCTTAGTAGCCTCTATTGTGGCTGGAAATGCCCGGTGGTTCTGGCTTCTGCTGCGTCAGGTGTGGAGAATCGATGGACTGATTGTTATTGGGCTTTGATGTAAAGTCTGATTTCATAAATAGACGTGATCTCCAAATTTGCAGCCTAGGCTATGATACTCCCACCAACCCCCCTTGCGATGGTTTCCTTCCTACTTTTGTCAGGTAAGGGTACCTGGCCTTCTCAGTGTTTGGGCGTTGAAGCGGATGGCCTGTCTTTCCGGAGCAGCTATAACTTTAAAGAAAAGATGCTTTCCTGGAATTCCTTCAGGTTGCAGTTTCTCAATCCACATTATTGATAAATCCAATAAATGGAGTTACTGGAAGAAATCTTAATAGAATTGCATTGTGGTGTGTGAATATTTAGCACCTACTTGATGTTATAACTGTTGGTATACTGTAGCCAGCATGGGCTTACATAAGACTTAAAAGGTTTGTTTGCTCACTAAAATGTGGAGCAATACTGAATTATGTATTCCGAATTCAGTGTAGTTGGACCCCCAGTGGTTAAAGATGCTGGAAGCTGATGGAGGCATTTCTTTAGAACAGTAATTGGAATGTGAAACTTAAAACAAATCAAGATAATGAATAGTATGGCTTCATGAAGTTGCCAGGAATCAAGCCCGAATCTATGGCACTTAGCTAACTTATAGTATTAGAAGATCAGAATCTTGCCTAGATATGTCTTAAAATCCTTTGGTGAAATCCAATGACCAAAATATAATTATCAGAAAAAAATAATACAACAGAAGTTAAGTATTCCTTTTTTGTAACTATTTGTTTAAAGTGCTTTGAAACTGAAGGGGAAAATGTTACAAACATTTAAAAACTATCTTAGAAACCTCTGAGAGAGTCAACATGGCTGAAATACAACACTTATCAGCAAATTAAAATTAATATTTGTTTATGAAGAGTAAGTTTTACAAATCACTTTTCTAAACGCACTTGAGGTCAGCCCTAAATTTAAAAGCCCTAACTGAGTAGCTATATTCACACAAACCATAAGCTAGCACACTGCATTTTAGATGGTTGACACACTGAACTGATGTTGGGTTAATGAGTTATTTATATTGTACAATCTAACTACCATAATATGTTTTAGTGCTCCAATTTTAAAGGGTTCCTTTGACAGTTATATAACTGGTGAAAACTTGTATATGGTTTCAAGTGATATGTAGGAAGAAACTTATATGTACTTGATTGTTTCTCATACCAGCTTTTAATAAAGGAGGAAATGAAAAAAAAAGTCTCTGGAGAGTTCATTTATATACTAACAGCAAATGAATCTATCATTTACATAGTCAGACACTTCATGACTGCATGGGCAGTGTCGCTTCCCTTTCAGCAACGGGCATTAAGTAAACTGGCTGTGTGTATTTGTATGTTTATGTGAGTGTATAGAAAGTGTCCCAGTGGCAGTAGGAACATTTGGGGCTGTGCCTCCTAAGCTGGGAGAATGGCTCCAACGGATCCCAGGAACAAAATCAGAGCTCTCTGCTCGGAAGAGTGTAACGTTAGGAACAGCTAAGATATGGCACAGAACCCTCAAACTCCTAGGCCTCTGGTGGAGGATCCAAGATTAAAGGGTAAGAAGGGAATTTGTGTGTGTGTCTCATAAGGAGTGACCTCAGGTGGCATCCAACAAAGATATAAAACCTGTCAAAACCCTCAATCATTATTAAAAAGTTTAAAAAGTATATGGCATATTAGATTACCAAGGAAATCACCTCAAAACCTCACCAGTTCCCCGAGACACCCGCCCCCCCCCAGGCCTGATGACAAAGCTAGATCTTGCGGTGCATTCAGAAAGTAAATAAGGGATGGAGCTGACATCACTTTGGGGGAGGGATGTTCCATAAGGGGGCACCACTTTAGAGAAGATGGGCTGCCTCAAACCCACCAAATATTTTCCCTAACAAGACCTGCAGCATGCATCTTCTGCCAGATCTGATAGGATGGGCAGATGTAATTGGGGTGAGGTGGTCCCGCAGATAACCTTGCCCCATGCTATAAAAAGAAAGATTAAAACCAGCATCTTGAATTGGATCTAGACTGGCAACCAATACAGCATGATAAGCAAAGTAGAAATATACATAACTGCTGCATTTTGCACCAAGTGAAGTGTCTGGGTATTCTTCAAGGCTAGCCCCATGTAGAGCATATTACTGTAATCCAATTGGGAGATGACAAGATCAATATGATTTGAAATAATGTAAAATTGGGGCATTAAACCTTAGACATATTGACATAAGTTTAATGATTCATGAGACTGGAATATCTTTGGGTTATTGTTTTTATGTTGGCTTTTATAGTTTTGTAAATGCCTAGAGTCACTAAGAGTAAGTAAATAAATTTTCATAAATAAATCTGGTGTTTTGGATTTGAAGTATACAGTGGCTGGGTATAATATTAGGTTCTAATCAAGTCTAGATAATATCACATTTTTTATTATTGGGAGGTATATAATTTCTTTTCCTATTAAGTTTGCTTCAAGTCAGGAGATCTGTGGCTTCCTGGTAAATCATGTAGTTTGGTTCCTGGCATTTTTAGGCAATGTGTCACAAGTTAATGAAATGCTGCTGGAGTGTTGATATTAGAATCAGGACAAGAACATATAACTTGAAACATTTCAAAAAAACATCCTGAAAGCTACATGTAGGTTATGAGATCAGAGAATTACTTGATTAAGGTGGCTCCACTTGTAATCACTCAGCCATGGGTGTAGTCATGGTGTAAGAAAAACTACCTTGAGTTCACCAGTTAAGAATTTCAACATACTGAAGAGCTAATCTTTTCAATGCAGCATAAAGTCAGGATATGAGGAGTACTAGTGATCTGGAAGAAGGATGAAGAGTGTAGATAAGCTTTTCCAAGTGGCAGTCTGTTCTCTATTGCTTATCTTTCCCTGCCAACCATGACAACAGGACCGGAAGGGAGTTGGGTGTGTTTGGGGTCCACCTTTAATATGAGGCAGGTGTGTGTGTGTGTGTGTGTGTGCGCGCGTGCGCGCGTGTGTGGCTTAACTGGCTTAGCCAGAATCCTAAGTGGGTTGAATGCACGTACCTAAAACTCTGATGTTCTCAGAGATTGTTGGCGGACAAATCAGCACAAGGATATTAAAATCAAGTTTCTTTCCTTCTCTTAGAAATGTTAATAGAACATTGCTAGCCAGCTTGGATTTATTTATTTATTTATTTATGAGACTTATATGCCGCTTTAAGTACAAGCACTCTCTAAGCGGTGTACACCAGTAAGCAATGTATATATATATTTACATTGCCCCCAACAATCTGGGTCCTCATTTTACCTACCTCGGAAGGATGGAAGGCTGAGTCAACCTTGAGCCGGTGAGATTTGAACCGCTGACCTGCTGAACACAGTCAGCTAAAGTGGCCTGCAGTACTGCACTCTAACTGCTGTGCCACCTCGGCTGGATTGTCTTTATCTAAAAACCATGATGCTATTTAATAAAATAGCTCTTTCATCCATCGTTTTAATAGGATGGCTTTAACACTATATTTATCAGGAAGTCTCACAAAAGTCTGCAGATTCAATTGTTTTAAAAAACAGATGCACTTAAGTTCAAAGCACAGCACACTGGGTATAATTATGTACTCGGAGAGCTCAACTGCATATACTGGAATTTTTCATATGACTGAAAAGTTCCTGTGATTTCTTAACTTCTCTGCATAAGGAGAGTCAACACCATATAATGTCTTGTGATTCTGTGTTGAAAGAGGCCAATTCCCTAATGTACTCATTCTAAGTCAGTGTCAGACCAATAAGGTAGCCAGACAAAAACAAGTAGTCTCTGGAGAGTTCATGTCAGAACTGCTCCCCATAAAGTGAGAAATTTAAAAGCAAATTGCTGCATAGCTGATGATAGAAGGCTGAATTAACACAAGCAGCTTTGGAGGAGAAAACATATTCCTTCTTATATGGTGACCTTCATAGTGATAGAACTACACCATCTACACATGTAGCAGTATCGGCTTGTTTTTTTGTTCTCTCTAAAGCAGGGGTCCCCAACCCCTGGTCCGTGGGCCGACACAGGTCCATGACATGCCAGAAACCGGGCCGCACAAAGACGCGAAGCCTCATCTGCAGGATGCAGGCAGCACATGAAACCACATCCCCTCTGCTCCACAGAAAAACCTCTCTCCACAGAACCAGTCCCGGGTGCCCAAAAGGCTAGGGGGGCTGCTGCTCTAGAGCCTCTAAAACTTATTCTGCTGAAATTTAGTGCCAAATCATCAAATTATAGTAATATAATTCTACTTAAACAGGCACAAATACATTTCTGTTAAGTCTCCATTAAACTAAGTGTACCTATTTTACTAAAAGAAAAGATCCTAATAATTCAGGGGAGGGGGATGTTAGCTTTGCTTCCTCGGGTGATGTCAGGATCATGCTTTCTGCAGCCAAAATTTTAGAAGCAAAAAGATTTCCCTGCTCCTGACTATATTTAGATTTCCTCATCCTGATGGTTCATATTCTAAGAGCATCTGCTTTTTCTCACTTCAATTATTAAAAGCTAGGGAAGCACTAGGACAATCTCTATACATCTGATATTAGCTGGAGCATTGGGTGATTTGTGCAAGTGCTAAACAATTTTTAATGACTTGCAGTGCCCTTTCGCCTTTTTATTGTTTTGTATCAACCAAAAGAAAGAAAAAACAATGTGAAGTAGTCTGCAGTTAGAATATGGTGAACAGCACCTTTATGTAAGAATGAATATATCAAATTTGGAAAGGTTTTGCTGTAGCTAAATTGGGGACAAATTAAGTTATCATGTGTAATGGTATGGTACAGAGCCAATATAATAATGGTGGCTAAAGAACCAGCCATGGATCCAATTCCAAGCACTCAAGTATAAATGCAATGTAATAACAAACTAATCTGTTGGCTAATTTCAGGCTCAGATGCCTATTTTAACTAAATCTAAAATAAGTCACATTATTCCTTATTGCACTGTGTACTTTGAAACATATTTACATTGACTTTGTAAAATTCTTTTTATACGCATTTTGCTATGGCTCTGTTTCATAGCTTCTTTGTTATCTTGCCTCCCAGTTTTGGTAGGTGTTGCATAAAGAAAGAAGATATGGCCTTGAAGGTAGCTGTACTACTGAGCTGTGTGCTAGGAATTGGTACCCTGACCCTGGAGGATCCTGAGGATGGAGGCAAGCATTGGGTTGTCATTGTGGCTGGTTCCAATGGTTGGTACAATTATAGGCACCAGGTGAGAAGGCTTTGCACTCCAATTGAAAAATAACTGGGTAAATGGAGGACTTCTTGCTGAATTGAATGGAATTTTTGAGGATTCCTGATACCTAGTTAAAAATGTCAGTAGACTACACTGAGAATGTCTTGTTTGTTGAAGTTTAGCCTACTCAATGCACTTTCTTATTAACATTATCCAGATGTGTAATAATAGTGAAATAACCCAGAGCTAAGATTTTTAAGCCTGAGCTGCCTATCAAAGTAACTGAGAGCCATCACTGCAACCAGTCTTCTGTACTTCAGCTTTCAAATATTTATTCTTACAACTTGAAGAAACTCTGTAATATGATAGAGGAAATTGTTCTTGTTAATTGTCTTAACTGTCCTCTTGAGTAGAAAGGCATAATAAATAGAGTCAAAAATATTGCTATCATTCTGCTTGTAGCACAGCATGATTTAGATTTATTTAGACTTCACAACCCATCTAGAATTCACCAAATTGGCACCAAATCTTAACATTTTTAGCAAAATTTCAGACACTTAAGAGGTTTTGCATTCATTCCTTCTTTGTTGTAGTTCAGAGTCAGAACAGAGTATTGCTTTCTCCTCATTTAGCACCTGCATTCTGTTCCAGTGACTTGGTCATTAAATGATATTGTCACTAAATGAACATGTTGCAAAGATCACTGGTTGCTACCATCTCATTCAGATAAAGTTCTCTGGTACAATGTCCAACCTGTTTTTCCTCCCTTTTTTGCCCCCTCATAGGGTGGAGAGATTGCTCAAACAAGCTGTCTCTTCCTGAACTGCTTTTCTCCACAGCACAGGGCTTCCCTAAAAATTGCTAATGCAAGTTAACAGGCTCGGGTCTGTGACCTTAATTAGTTAATTAGAATCCTGCTGCCTGAAACTAACCAAACTTTAATCAGTTTCACATTGTCAGGAAATTTTGTAGTGAATGCTACATAGGTCTGAAATGATTTTTTAATTATAATGTATAATCTTTGTATTTGAGAATGGTCACTAACTAAGATAGTCACCAAGCAAGAAGTACTGTAAATAAGGCAATCTGGTAAGTTTTGCAGTTCCTGTTCAGTTTTGTAAATATTAAGTACAAACCAGGTCAAAGAGAAACAGACAGAGTAAGATATGTATGGAGGAGGAAGCTTGAGGTAAGGAAAATTTCATTGATAATCACATGAAGAGAAGTTGCAACAGAAGATGTAGAAACAGCAGCCCTCAGATTCTGTAGAAAGACATGTTTACCTTTTTAAAAAATGTTAAGAGCAGCAGTGATTTTTATTGTGAAATCTTCTTCTCTTTTGCACCAAACTTGTTCGTCCTTATTGCAACTAGAAACTTGTTGACGGAAGAGGAAAACTGTATTAAATTGTAATTGGCCAGAATAACTTCGGACTATTTGGACTATATTTGGACTTTAGCTCCCAGATTTCTTCAACTGGCATGAGAATTCTGAGAATTGAAGTTCACAGATCTTAAATTTGCCAAGGTTGAGAAACAATGCCTAAAAAATGCTCTGTCTTCAGATGTTTTTTAGTTCCCTAAACTTTACTTTTTATTATTAATCCCCATCTGTTCTGTGACATTTCAGCATGTAACATGGCTAAAATGTCTCTATAGATCTTTATTCCACTATGCTTGCAATAGAGAAGAAAATGGAAAGGCTAGCATAATAGTGACCTCTGCATTTTGTGTGACAAAGTTGTCCCAATATTGGAACATAAATACACATACATTTTCAGAATTGTTGGATTAAAAATGCTGTTCATTCTATGTGTTTCTGAGAAAAAAATATTAAAGAAAATACTGATATCGACTACAGAATGGTGTGGGGATTTTTTGCAATAAACCTTTTGTATTATTGAATTTTAAAGCACTTGTGAAAGTCATTCATTACAGTGTCCTCTGAAAGTTAAATGTTGCGTAATAACCGTTTCTTACTAAACCAGGAAATTAGAGGACTTCAAATACTGAACAACATCCAACAATATGAACTTGGCCAATTGTTACTTTGGCTTAGCTATAGGTTTAATTTCTGGTTTAAAAGAATTTTCTCAGTATTTTTCAGATCGTATAGAAACATTTTCAAAATAAATAACCTCTTCTCACCACTTTTTCCTGCTCTTTATTTGGAATAAGTTAGACTTACTACAATAGACTCTCTGGAATGAAAAAAAGTATCTATGGTTGTGAGCATATAGTTTCTTTTGAGGGTGACTCATAATTTTGCAGGTATTGGCTTGCCCTTCCCAAGCAGTGACCCACACAGCAAACCACAGGAATTCAGTGAAGTGTGAATGCTATAAAAATAGTCTCAAATTTGGCCTTTCTGTCTTCAAAACTGTGTGTTTTTGCAGTTGCTAGATATGCAAACGCTACAAGCTGTTGGAACTGGAAAGTTCTAGAATTACACCTGCAAATCATCAAACCTTTATTATGGTCAAAGGCCACCATAAGGAGGGTGAAGTGCAATCAATTAAAAAGCATAGAAAATACATCAGAGTCTAAAGAATAGTAATTATAAAACATTAAAGGATTATAAAACAGAAGTATATATAAAGCAAAAGTCTAAAAAGAATCTAAAAGGAGAGGTTAGAAGCATTAGATTGGATGTAGGGAGCATAAAAATTAGTAAGTGGTAGACTAAATGTATCACAGTACAGAGCACTCTAGGACGAGGAACTAGTGCTCATTGAGACTAGATTATGGCACAGATCATCTGATGAATTTTAAGCACTGCTGCATACAAAATGGCAACGTATGTTGTATCAGGGTCAGTATCTGAAAACAGCAGGGAGATGTAGATTTCTCCTATGTACCCTGGGTAATGTACAGTACACTGTACAATAATGGTGAGATGAGGCTAGTGCAAATGTCTCTGTAATACATGTGCTGGACAAATATATGTTTTGTTATTTCTTTGTGTTCAGAGTCACAGAAATGTGTAGAGAATTTTCCTGCCTCAGCCTTCAAGGACAGCTGTAGAGAGGGCATGAAAAGTAAAGGCCCTCTGATAGTTAGGTACTTTAAGATTAGTTACATATGCAATAGGGAAGGCAGAGTACCTGTTGGATTCACAGACAATAAAGCCCGGGATCTGGTTAGATCCAGTTGCATTGGATTGGCCTGACCATATCCCATGCTGAGTAGAAGATACAGTATGTGTGGCTCAGTGCCATGTTGAACTATTCTTCTGTGAATGTTTTTTTCTCAGAGGATCCTGTCTGATTCCCAATGAACAATTGTGTTCCAACACAATATTGTGAAAAACAAGACATTAACTTAAGTAAAATCCATATAATGTCATAATGTCTTGTCTTTGTAGAAAAACAGCTGGTAAAGAAAACTATCTTACATCTTTCAGGCTGATGCATGCCATGCTTACCAAATTGTGCACCGGAATGGTATACCAGATGAACGAATCATTGTCATGATGTATGATGACATTGCTTATAATGATGAGTAAGTAGTAAACATTTAGCCGTGCATATCATCTTTGCAACAATGCTACAAATAAAGTCACAAGGTTGTTTTTTTTTTCATAAAGTCTCAATTTCACAACAGTAACTTTCACTTACTGTTTGAATAAGCCTCACATAATTTTTTCAGGCACACTCCACAACCAACTCATTTGGGCTTACCCAACTGCCTTAAACTATTTTTCTCAGGAAACAAAAACACAGCTTGCATTTCATTGGAATGATCAGTACCGATAGTCCTCAACTTATGACCAGTTGTTTAATGACTGTTTGCGGTCATGACAGCCTCCCTACGGATACTTTACGGCCCTAAAGCAAGCCACCATATAGTCTTGCACTGGGTCCCCCTAGTCCCATAAGCGCATGTTGAGTGCTTGACAACCTGTTCTCATTTACAGTTAGTATCCTGCAATCATGTGATTGCCATTTGCAATCTTCTCTGTCAGCTTCCCCAAAAGGTCAGTGGGAAAGCCATTAGGGAATGTTGCAAATAGAAGGGACGTTGGCTTTGAGGTCTATTCCCCCTCCCCTCCGCAGGGAAGAGAAATCTTCCACCATGTTGGAGGAATAAACCTCAAATCTGGCGAAAATACTCCATGATACTACTTAAAATGATATCACATAAAAACTATGATCTATAGATAAGGAAAGGATAATAGTTTTCACAGGGACTGGATAAGTGGTAAGATAATGAACTAATGTTAAGAATACCAAAGATTTAGGGGGGGGGGGTTACTACCTCATCAAACAAGATATGTGTATCTAAAAGTCTGGAAATGCTATGTGTATTTTTATTTTTTTGTTACCTGGAGGCTAACAATCATCATCATCATGACATTGGAGGAAAAAGGTAATTAAGGGAGAAAGTTTAATGGATCAGGATGGGGAAATTGGCTTCCTTGAAGGAAAAACTAGATTTTCCTCAAAGATTAGAATCCTTATTTAGCATAAGACTTGCTTTGTAGAAGGTTCTGCTTTCGAAAGCAGTTCATGTTATGAAATCTCTAGAGATTATGATATTTTATTTGTGCATGTAGTATTCACACTCTTTTTCCATTTCCAGCAATCCAACCAAAGGCATTATTATTAATCGACCAAATGGCACAGATGTATACAGAGGAGTAATAAAGGATTACACAAATGATGTAAGTGTCTGATTTCCTTGCATAATGATACGGAACAGAGGAGCTAATTGGGGCTCAAACAGTGCTTGATGTTATAAAAGCAGTAATTAAACCCAAATAAAAAATATTGTACTTCCAAATAATAAGAGTGCAAATTATGGAAAATGCTATTTCATTTAGGCTTTTATGCTCCTGAAGGCCATTTTAATCCTGGACTCCACGCTTTGTTTTGTTACCTCAGACCAATTCAGCTGGCACGTACCTTCTCTGCTCTCATCATTCTCTCCACCAGGCTTTTTTTTTTTTTTAAGATCGGAGTCACATCCTATACTGTACTTATCCTTCTGGTTGAGAAACATTGCTGTTGCTTACATATAATGAAGGTGTTATTATATTATATATAATAATAAAGGCAGGATACAAATAAATTAAACAGATACGCTGGTTATGGGTTGTTTGCTACAGATTCAGAACAAAGAGCTCATTTCATTTTTCAATTTGTACCGATCTATAGGATGTTACGCCAGAGAACTTCCTTGCCGTGCTAAGGGGTGATGCTGAAGCAGTAAAGAATATAGGATCAGGAAAAGTATTACGAAGGTAATAGGAAAAAGGATAGACTAGGTTCCCAAAAGATGACTTCGTTGCTAATGTAATTTTATAGACTTTATTTATTTTATAAATAAGTGATGAGTTCCTTTGTGTTTTGCAGTGGCCCCAAGGATCATGTATTTGTTTACTTCACGGATCATGGTGGCCCTGGAATTCTGGCTTTTCCAAATGATGATGTATGTTTTTCCACACAAAATGCCTGCCTGTGTGTCTGCAAGGAAACCAAACAGGAGAGGAAGGGAGGGGGAGAGAGAAAGCTCCTCAGTGTTTATTTCTTTGGTTCTTTTATGAAAAGGAAACCAGAATATCAGCTTCAGAATTTGACACGGGATGCTTGCAGAAATTGTTCTGAATATTGAGGGGAGGTCCATGTGTACGTATGAATAATAGTATGAAAGAATGTATGTATATTGGTTGAGAATTGTAATGAATTTTCCAAGTAGTATATATTTTAGATTGACTTTAAAAATAGAATGTAAATAATTATTGCTTTGATTTCTGAATTTATATCTTCTTTCTCTAATTTAGATAATTTATGAGATTTATTTTACTTCCAACAACTTGGTTTTATCAAAACAGGGACTAAACTCAAAAATCAGGCTTCTTTTTAATCTTGGATATGTGGATAATTATGCCAGTGTATATCTCAAGTTGTAAGGATTTCATATAATTTTGGGGGAGGAATGCTTACAGTGTGTTTCTAATTTTATTTGCTTGAGAACATTGAGAGCTAATTGTGGTCAATTTGTTTTCCAGCTCAAGGTGCAACACCTGAACAAGACAATTAGGTATATGTACAATCATAAAAAATTCCAAAAGGTAACATTCTTATGTTCCAGATATAAAAATACCATAGAAAATTTCTTTGTAGCTTTGCAACTATTTTTACAATAGTTTAATAGGAAGGATGACATTATAGAAAGTTAGACGATTGTGTTATCAAGTATTATAGGAATTATAGTACTATAGCAGTAAACCTGCAAGCTTTGTTATTTATTGCAATCGACTGCATGAAAATCTTGGTTTTGAAGTATCTGGGAATCATACAGTATTCAGTTCTATGCTGTGATACAAAAAAATTGCACTAATAAGCTGCTTGGAATGTGGCCATGTTCACAAGATTATGAGGAAAATGCAAGGGAAATTGATGTTAAATCTGGGCTCAGTTCTATGAAGGCTTCTTTTTCACGGTACTCTGACTGTTATAGCTCTGGTATGATTAAAGATGAGTAAGAATTAATTTGGGACATAAGATGTAAATAGAATAAGAGCAAACTCCACTCCTTTCTAACACTGATGATGTTATCTATGAAATGTGTAAGAAAACCATCAAGCTCAGAGAGAACAAAGGACCCCATAGGTCAGCCCTAGGTACAAATATACTATCATTGCAACTCACTTTTTTAAAAAGTATAGTGTGAAATACAGTGCTACATAGCTAAGTTGTCATCTGTTTTGAATGCCTGCATTGAAACACAAGATGCTTATATTATTCTCTGTTTGATATGAATGCTCATTTCCAGAGAAAAAGATAAAATAGAATCTTTTTTCTTCAATTCTATTAATCTAGAGACCCCAAATAGCATTTAGTTGATGTGTTCTATTTATATTCCCCTTCCAATGTCTTAGAAACTTGTACAATAAATCATCCAATTTGAAATAGAGATTTTAAAAAATAATTGTGTTTAAAGGTACCATGTTCTCATGCAAACAGATTGGAAAGAGTTTCAACTGCCTTTTAGTCAGCATCTTATAAAATTTGTGTTTGCCAACATATGTGAAAATTGTGACTCGCTAGCCAGGATTCCCAATCACTGAGAGGTGCTGACTCAGAATTATATCTTGAGGATTCCAGATCAGAGAGGGCTACTTTAAAAGGCAATATAATAGAGGGAAAAAAGTGAATATAATGAACCAACCACTGCTAAAATATTTCTAATGGAGTCTTCTTTAAATTACAGATGGTTTTTTACATTGAAGCATGTGAGTCTGGATCAATGATGGAAAATTTACCTAATAATATTAATGGTAAGTGATCAGTCAGTATTTTGATGTGGAACTAATAAGTAACACTAGAGAAAACTCAGCTTAATGGAACATTTGAAGGAAAAATTCTCAATCCAAATTTATATCATAGACATTAATTTATGAAATTATAGTAATTTGCAAAGTCACATAATTGACACTTTCATATAATTTGTGCCCATTTATTTGTTGATTCAATTTGGGTGCCACCTTACTCCATTTTATTTTGGGACACTCACAATAATAACATAAAAAATACAGAATGCAAAAATAACCAAAGCAAGTATAAAAATAACAACAGAATAATGACAAGATGGCAGTCCAACAACAAAGGAAACATAAATCACAAACAGGGAAGTCTCAACCACCCTACCCCGAAGTCTGGAAGGTCAACCAGGTATTTAAGTCCTTCTGGAATGCAATATGTTAGTGGTGGCGAACCTATGGCACGCGTGCCACAGGTGGCACGCAGAGCCCTCTCTATGGACACACGCGCGTCGCCCCAGTCCTAGGCCTTCAGCTGGGTTTTATAAAACCTTTTCACTTTAGGCCTCCACCACCGTGTGCAAAAAAAAAAGTTCAATCAATCAATCAGTCAATTTCAACTATTCACGGGAAAAAAAAGATCTTGCAAAGTTGGAATTGATTGATTGAACTTTTTAGTCCCACCCAGTCTGCCGTTACCACTGCAGCCACGCCTACCCAATGGGCCACACCCACCCGGCACCCGACGATACATAAGTGGGTTTTGGGTTGCAGTTTGAGCACTCGGTCTCTAAAAGGTTTGCCATCACTGCCATATATATTTCAGGAGGGACCTCATTCCAAAGAGGAAATACCACTACAGAGGAGACATGCTTCTTGGGTCCTGAAAGGTGACACTCTTTAATTGAGAGGCCTGGAGCATGTCCACTGGGCTGGAATGTATCAGTTAGGCAGAAACCATGGGAGTCTGACGGCCCTCCGGATATCCAGGTCCTATGCCATGTAGACCATATAGATAATAATAATAATAATAATAATAATAATAATAATAATGATGATGATGATGATAACAAAATACAAAGACCTACAAATAGAAATAGAAAGACTGTGGCAAAAGCAAGCAAGGGTAATACCAATAGTGATAGGCTCCTTGGGTGCAATCCCAAAACAGCTGGAGCACCACTTGAACACCGTTGGCATTGACAAATTCGCTATTAATCAATTGCAAAAGGCGGCCTTACTAGGAACTGCTTCCATCCTGCGACGATATCTGTAATACCATCAAATGTCCACATCTGCCTATCCCAGGTCCTTGGTAAGGACTCGATAGGTAGACAAAAATGCCAAATCCAGTCTGAACATCTGGCTGACTGTGCAGTAATCATCAACAACAACAGTAATAATAATAATAATCCCCCAGTGAGGCACTACCTTGACGTGGTTGTGGGGCTTGTGTACTCTGAGGAAGATGAGAGCTATGCCAGAAGTTCAACCATACTGGACAGGTTTCATCAGAGGAGTCAGACAAAGAGTGTCTCTCCCATAAAAATATGGTGAGACGTAAATTAGAGAATGCCATACTGGCTCGGATGTCGCCCGGTTTAACAAGGTCCGCGCTAGATATTGGAGTTCCTGGATATCTGGTGAAAAATGGGTTACAGGACTCAGGACTGTTGGCTGAGCAACCAGGGCCAGCAGCTGCAGAACTACTGGAAGAAAAGGTGTTTACCCGTCGCAGATACACAGTGATGGAAAACAAAGAAATAATGATCTGTTACTACAGATCAAGTCCAACAAGAAGAGGATATCTAAAACGAATGCACCAGTTCTGGAAAGAACAACATCCAGAATCAGAAATAACAGAACAGAGACTAGCAGATCAACGCCGATTTATAACACGAAATAAAATATTCACAGAAACAGAATTGGACGAACTGCAAAGGTTTACCCAGGGCAAAGAAATCAAAGCCTTACCAGAAGTAATTCAGAATGTAGAGGCAAACCAGGGGGAGTTGGCAGTGAAGGAATCTAGCAGAGATATACAACTGTTCTCATTTGGAAACCAGGCACCTCTACCTCAGGAAGAACAAAACCCTCTAACTAAAGAAATAAAAGAATTGAAACAAAGAATAACTGAGCATCTAGAACAGCACAAAAACAACAGAATAAGGCTGCCTGCATTGAAGCTTGTTCCAAAGAAACAGCTAGCACAAGCATTAAAAGATGCAAATACTGCAATAGCAAGTATAAGCACCAATTCACTGCAAGAAACAAACCAACTAATGTACAGCACAGCTGCAGTTATAACAGAATACCTGGGATGCAAAATCAACAAAAAAGAAAAACAAACAAACAGTGCACCACAAAAATGGAAGGTTAGACTAGAAAATAAGATCAGCAAGTTAAGATCACATGCAAGCAAGCTAGAACAGATGAAAGAAAAGAAGCTGAAGAACAAGAAGACCAAAGAATACCTAATCAAGAAATACCACTTAGAAACAAGGAAGATCAGGGAAGCACTGGAAATAATAAAGCAACAAATAACAGCTATAGCCAGGAAAATCAGTAGATATGAAGCTCGAATTGCAAACTATAGGCAGAACCTCCAATTTCAATCCAATCAGAAACGTTTCTACCAATCCATCAATGGAGAAACTGCAAGGAATCAGTCAGTACCTGACAAGGAAGAAACAGTGCAGTTCTGGAAGCAGATATGGGATAACCCAAAGAAATACAACAAGGATGCGGCTTGGTTAAAAGAGGTGGATGCAAATAAAACAGAAGTTGAAATGAAAGAACTAGTAATAACAACAAAAATGGTAGAAAAAAGAGCAAAGAAAATCAAAAATTGGTCAGCACCAGGTGAAGATGAACTGCATGGGTTTTGGTTGAAACATCTAACTGTTATACACCCACTCATTGCCAAGCAGTTCAACAATATACTACAAGGAGGAGAAATTGAAAAGTGGCTAACAACTGGGAAAACCTACCTAATAATGAAAAATCCAGCAAAAGGGGCAACACCAGGTAACTACAGGCCAATTACCTGCTTACCAACAACTTTCAAATTACTAACTGGTGTGGTAGCTGATGCAGTACAACAGCATCTAGTTGAAAACAATCTCTTTCCACCTGAGCAGAAAGGAAACCGCCCCAATAGCAGAGGAACAAAAGATCAACTCCTAATAGACAAAATGATCTTGGAAAACTGCAAGAGAAGGAAGACCAACCTGAATGTGGCATGGATTGACTACAAAAAGGCATTTGACTCTCTGCCACATGATTGGATAATAAAGTGCCTAGAAATAACAGGAGTCAGTAGAAACATCAGAAAATTTGTGCAAAGATCGATGGCACAATGGAAGACACAGTTGCAGATCAATGGTGAGAGGCTGGGAGAGGTTAATATCAAGAGAGGAATATTTCAAGGAGATTCATTATCACCATTACTATTTGTTATTGCACTGTTTCCTCTGTCAACAATACTGAATAACTCAGGACATGGCTATCAAACATCAAAAACATCTGCCAGACTATCCCACCTCCTTTACATGGATGATCTGAAGCTGTATGGAAAAACATCATCTGAAATAGAATCGCTACTCAACAATGTCCATATATATAGCCAAGATATTGTAATGGAGTTTGGCTTGGATAAATGTGCCACACTTACTATCAAACAAGGAAAAATAGTGAAAACTGAAGGAATCAAGATGCCCCACGAAAATAACATTAGGAGTCTTGATGAGGAAGAGTACTACAAATACTTGGGTATCCTTCAAGCTGACAACATCAAGCACACTGAAGTCAAGAAAAAGATTAGAGGTGAATACATCAAGAGAGTAAAAAAGATCTTAAAGTCCAAACTCAATGGAGGAAATACATAAAGGCAATCAACACCTGGGCAATCCCAGTCATTAGGTACACAGCTGGAATAGTGGACTGGACTCAAGCAGAACTAAAAGTAATGGATAGGCAGACCAGAAAAATAATGACAATGAATCATGCCCTTCATCCACGCAGTGACATTGATAGACTTTATCTACCAAGGCAAATAGGTGGGTGTGGAATGCTACAAGTACATCAGATGGTTGAAGAAGAAAAAATGGCTTTGGAACAATATCTGAAGAACAATGATGAAGATGCACTGAAATTAGTATATCAGGAAGGCTTACTGACTACTGGAGAGACAAACTGGCCTACAAGAAAGACCAAATGAAGAACAGAATAGAGGCATGGGAAGACAAAGCACTACATGGCCAATACGTGAAAAAAATAGCTGGGAAAGCAGATAATAATCAGACCTGGCAATGGCTAAGAGCAGGAAAATTGAAGAAAGAGACCGAGGGACTAATTCTGGCTGCACAAGACCGAGCCTTAAGGACAAATGCATACAAAGTCAAAATTGAGAAGACAGCAACAGACAGTAAGTTCCGCCTATGCAAAGAAGCTGAAGAAACAGTGGACCACTTGGTAAGCTGTTGCAAGAAGATTGCACAAACTGATTACAAGCAGCGGCATGACAAAGTAGCTACAATGGTGCATTGGAAGATCTGCAAAAAATATCATTTGCCTGTAAGCAAAAACTGTGGGATCATAAAATAGAGAAAGTCATAGAAAATGATAAAATTAAACTGCTCTGGGACTTCAGAATTCAAACAGACAAGCACCTGCAACATAACACCCCAGACTTAACAATTGTCGATAAGAAAGACAAAAAAGTCTGGATAGTGGACGTGGCAGTGCCTGGAGACAGCAGAATAGACGAGAAAGAATTGGAGAAGATAACAAAATACAAAGACCTACAAATAGAAATAGAAAGACTGTGCAGCAAAAGCAAACAAGGGTAGTACCAATAGTAATAGGCTCCTTGGGTGCAATCCCAAAACAACTGGAGCACCACTTGAACACCATTGGCATTGACAAATTTGCTATTAGTCAATTGCAAAAGGCGGCCTTACTAGGAACTGCCTCCATCCTGTGACGATACCTGTAATACCATCAAACATCCACATCTGCCTATCCCAGGTCCTGGGTAAGGACTCGATAGGTAGACAAAATGCCAAATCCAGTCTGAACATCTGGCTGACTGGGCGTGGTTGTGGGGCTTGTGTACTCTGAGGAAGGTGAGAGCTATACCAGAGGTTCAACCATATTGGACAGGTCTCATCAGAGGAGTCAGACAAAGAGTGTCTCTCCCATAAAAAATATGGTGAGACGTAAATTTCAGAATGCCATACCGGCTCGGATGTCGCCCGGGTTAACAAGGTCC